CAGATCTGTTACTCCGTTTAGCACTTTTGTTTTTTTTGCCATGATTAATGTGTGCATGATATGCCCGCGAGTTCTACATATGCTTTGTTAAGGGTTTTGTCATCTCTCTAGAGGTGCAACCATGTATTTTTAGGATGTGTGTGGTGACTAGTGCAAGCTTGCAAAGTGGTGCACTTGCTAATTCTGTTTTCAGGGACTTAGTAATTTCACTAAGTCCTGGAGCTGTTTATCTCATGATGCCATATGTTCATGTTGTTTCCTAGTGATCCGTGCCTTTTTTGAGGATGATTAGTAAGGATGTTTTGTTAATATTATAGTGCTCTATCCATCCATGTCTTTGTTTGCAATTATGGAGCACCCTAGAGTCAATCGAGCTCTACTTTTACTACTTTGTGAATCTGGGCAGATTGTCAACTTGTTTGCAATTTTGCCGCTGATGTTGTAGTTGATCCGTGCATGCTATGCTATTGTTCTTGCCATGTCTAGCTTGAATTTTGTGCCTTTTTGATGGGTGTATGCTTGTCTTGCCATGACTTGCTCTGTAGTGAGTGCATCGAGCTCGTAAACATGCCTACTTGAGTTATATTTCAGCATGTGTCAGTTTTTCACAAAGTCTGAAACTGATTATGTTTTTGCTATGTTCACATGCTTGCAATTGTATTTTCTAATCCTTTTTGGCTCAAGGTCACTAAGGGACTTTTGTTAAGCTCTTTGAGTAGCTCCATGCCATGCTTTACTTTGCCATGTTCAGGTCCTGTAGCATGTAGTTTTGTTGCTCTGAAGAGGGCTACCTGATCTGAAATTCCAGACAAGTGTTGATTTCACTAAGTCTGAGATCTGTTTGCCATTTGCATTTTTGCCATGCTTGTTTGAACCTGTTAATGGATGAATTGGCCGTAGCTCAGTGCTAGACTTTTGTTAAGCATCTTGTGTGCATCCCTGCCATGTATTTTGTTGTCATGTTTGGGTGCTGTAGCATGTTCATCTCATTGTATTTAGATGCCTACTTGCTGTAAATCGCAGACCAGTGTCATTTTTGAATCGCTTGCCATTTCCAAACCGTAACTCCGATTCCGGCGTTCTTTATATCGTTTTCAAGCGATTTCATCTCATCTTTCCAGTGGCACACTTGGTTTTCCAAGTTGAGGCCAGGTTCATGCATTTCCTGTCATATCTTACATTTTGCATCCCCCATCGCATCCCGCATAGCATATCATCTTTGCATTGTGTTGTTTGAGTTTGCACGTGGTTGATTGTATCATTGTTGCTTGTTTGTCTTGTTTGGGTAGAGATGGGAGACGAGTTCGCAAACGAGGAGCCCGTTGAGTTTGTTTTTGAGGATCTAGTCAACTCTGACAACTATGCAGGCAAGATGATCATACCCTCGAAATCACTACTATCTTTGCTATGCTAGTTTGCTCGCTCTTTTGCTATGCCATTGCTACGATGCCTACCACTTGCTTGCAAGCCTCCCAAATTGCCATGTAAAACCTCTAACCCACCTTGTCCTAGCAAACCGTTGATTGGCTATGTTACCGCTTTGCTTAGCCCCTCTTATAGCGTTGCTAGTTGCAGGTGAAGATTGGAGGCCGTTCCTTGTTGGAACATATATTTTACTTGTTGGGGATATCATTATATTGCTATGTTATCTTAATGCATCTATATACTTGGTAAAGGGTGGAAGGCTCGGCCTCTCGCCTAGTGTTTTGTTCCACTCTTGCCGCCCTAATTTCCGTCATATCGGTGTTATGTTCCCGGATTTTGCGTTCCTTACGCGGTTGGGTTATAATGGGAACCCCTTGATAGTTCGCCTTGATTAAAGCTTTTCCAGCAATGTCCAACATTGGTCTTACCATTCGCCACCTAGCCTTTTCTTTCCCTTGGGTTCTGCAGACTCAAGGGTCATCTTATTTTACCCCCCCCCCCGGGCCAGTGCTCCTCTGAGTGTTGGTCCAACCGAGCGATGTCCGGGGCTACCAGGGGCAACTCTGGGCTGGCCTACCCGAAGTCTGGCTCATCTGAGTGTGCCCTGAGAAAGAGATATGTGCAGCTCCTATCGGGATTTGTCGGCACATTCAGGCGGTGTTGCTGGTCTTGTTTTAACCTGTCAAAGTGTCTTGAATTACCGAGATACCGAGTCTGATCGGAACGTCTTGGGAGGAGGTCTATTCCTTCGTTGACCGTGAGAGCTTGTCATGGGCTAAGTTGGGACTCCCCTGCAGGGATTTGAACTTTCGAAAGTCGTGCCCACGGTTATGGGCAGATGGGAATTTGTTAATGTCTGGTTGTAGATAACTTGAACCTTAACTTAATTAAAATGAATCAACTGAGTGTGTTTCCGTGATGGCCTCTTCTCGACGAAGTCCGGGAAGTGGACACGGTGTTGGAGTAATGTTTGCGCGGGTTGTTCTCTAGTTTCTCGCTCGCGCTTTGCCTCCTCTTCTCGCTCTCTTTTGCGAATAAGTTAGCCACCATATATGCTAGTCACTTGCTGCAGCTCCACCTATATTTACCTTGCCTTATCTATAAGCTTAAATAGTCTTGATCGCGAGGGTGCGAGATTGCTGAGTCCCTATGGCTCACAGATTACTATTACACCAGATGCAGGGCCTGATGATTCCGCTCCAGGAGACGCGTACGAGCTCAAGTGGGAGTTCGACGAAGACTCTCAACGTTACTATGTTTGCTTTCTCGATGATCAGTAGTGGTGCCCAGTTGGGGTGAACGGGACCGTGGTCGCATGTTGGGTTCTCTTTTATTTTGGCGCCGTAGTCGGGCCATGAGTGTTTGGATGATGTAATGTTATTTATGTACTTGATTGACGTGGCGAGTGTAAGCCAACTATGTTATCTCCCCTTTATTATTTATATTACATGGGATGTTGTGAAGATTGCCCAACTTGCGACATATGCCTTCAATGCGATTATGCCTCTAAGTTGTGCCTCGACACGTGGGAGATATAGTCGCATCGAGGGTGTTACACATCCGCAAGGGTGTGAACTTCGGAATACATCATCGTCTCCGCGTGCCTCGGTTATCTCTTAACCGAGCCCTTTACTTATGCACTTTACTTTGTGATAGCCATATTGTTCTGTGTCATATATCTTGCTATCACATAGTTGCTTATCTTTCTTAGCATAAGTTGTTGGTGCACATAGGTGAGCCTAGTTGTTTTAGGTTTTGTGCTTGGCAAATTAACCGCTAGGTTTATTTCGCATTTGTTCAAGCCTAAACCGTAATTATTTTAAAATGCCTATTCACCCCCCCCCCCCCTCTAGGCGACATCCACGATCTTTCAGGCGGGCTCTTCCTTAAACGGTGAATACGACGGGCCCGGACCTGGCCCGGCCGTTGGGCTGAAAACCTAGGCCCAGGCCTGGCCCATGGCAAGGTCGGGTCACGCTTTTTCTGGTCGGGCCGGGCCAGGCCGGTTCGGGCCGTCCGGGCCGAGCTTCCCATGGCCAGGACTAGTCCCTTGGGCACACTGGTAGGATAAAGTGCACAGGAAAGACTAGTGTTGCTCTGTGGGGCCAGTCTTGATCCTGCCAGGAGTAACAATTTGTTATAATTGGTATCAGAGCCGACCCTCGCGGTTACACGGGCATCTGCAGGTCAGGTGTGCGGGCATGTGGCGCACGACGCGTTTGGCTCATTGTGGCACACGACATGGCACATGTGCCAGACTGAACGCAGATAAGTGCGCCAAGAGAGAACGTCCGTGATGGACTGACGAGGACGTTGGTTCCTTTAAGTGGGGGTGTATGTGAGAGTCTGACTTAATAGGTATGATAAAGTACTCATATCAATAAGGAATTCCTTCTTTTTCGAAAGCCCAATCGAAAAGAATTTCAAAGTTAAGCATGCTTGGCTTGGAATAATTTTAGGATGGGTGACTGACCGAAAAGTTGATTTCGGATGCACACGAGTGAGGACTAAGTGCGCGGAAAAGAGTAGTGTTGATGTGTGGGCCAGTCTTGATCCCGCGAGACTATAACAAGGCGTTACACTCCACTTCTTCCATAATGCGCAAAAATAAAAGTTTCTGTGTGCGAAAACGACGACAAAGCCATAGATTATCTAGAAAAGTTGGGTTCAAATCAAAATAGTCCTTCTGCAGTAGCCGTGCTCCGGACGCCCTATCCTGATTGGTCACTCTTCTTCCTTTGATTGATCCTTTGAAATTGAGAATATGCTTCACCTGCCGGTTCATTTTCTCTTGCATGCTCATGTCCACCTCTTCGTCCGAATTTGATGAATCGAAGAACTCATCTTGAATGATTTGATCAACCTCCGTCGGTCCATACTCCTAGTCCCACGAAGCATTTGAATTCATTTCCCCCCTAAAAAGAATCATAAAAAAAGGATCGGATAATGTGTCGAACATATAGAGTGCGAGGGGCAAGCCTGAGAGTTGCCAGACATACCGCGGTGGTGTCCAGACCGGCGACGACGTCCCCGACGGCGAGGACGTGAGAGAGGAGTGTTGTGCCGGTGTTGGCGGCGTAGAGGCTCGGAACGGAGTCGGGCCGCACGCAATGGCGGAGCTGCGAAACCGACAACGCGGAGGAGGAAGAAGAGAGGAGAGAACAAATGGATCCGATAGGGCGAGGGGGTAGATTTTTGTGTAATTTGAGGTGGTGTAGGGCTGTCGAGTTCAACATGAGTCGGACATGTCCGGGCACCTATATATCTATCTTCTATTTGGCTGGATACGAGAGGAGTTGACCAGTTCGGACTTTGAGACCAATTTAATAAACTTGTCTGGGTTGCTTTTTTATGATCGAACAGTGACTAGGCCATCCGTCCGAACAGATTGGAGGCGTCCGGCAGATGCTCTAAGCTTCCGTACGTCGGCTTCTAACTTTCTATGGCCCAGAGTTTCGGCTTCTAACTTTCTATGGCACATATTTGTGGACTTTTTTTTAATGTACACGGTACACCACTGTTAATTTTTTCCCCTTGATTTGTTTTCGCAGTACAAGGACACCACTGAAGCGACCATGGACGCGACGCGCGCCATCCTGCAGCAGTGCGAGCGGTCCAAGACGGTGAGGCGTGTCATCCACACGGGCTCCGTTGTCACGGCCTCGCCGCTCCGGGAGGACGGCGACGGGTACAAAGAGTTCGTGAGCGAATCCTGCTGGACCTCACTCGGCCTGCCCTACGACCACAGCAACGAACACCTGGACGTGAGTGCTTCTAATTCCTGGTCTAGATCCCGGCAAGGCCATCATGCACAATTCATTCAACTCATCGTATAATTCTAGCCAGGGGCGGAGCCAGAAAATTTAGTCATTGGGTTCATTTGTTGACTCGTGAGAATTTGATACGAATTAGTTAAGCGTAAAAGCTGTTTTACACCATTTTACATCACCCAAAAATAACATAACAAATAGAAATATGATAGTATTTTTTTGCATGGAAATAGAAATATGATAGTAGCTACTACATATTTTGTTATTTAATAGTTGAAGAGTATAAGACATACCAGCTGAATGAAATTCTAAAACCACTTTTTAGGTACTACAAAAAAAGTAGTACCCAAATAACTTCATAGCTTGGGTGTAGCTTCTCGTCTTTTTGAAAACAGTGAAAAAACAAATTATTTTGACAAGTTTAATACAAGCACCATCAATAAAAAAAGTAAATTTAGAGTGTCTCATTTTTATTTCCCTAATTATCTTTAAAAGACCAAACACCAGATCCATACGAATGGTAGAAAACATGTATTTCTTCCCGTAGCAAATTAGATAGTCATTTATAAACCGACCACTCATTTTATTGTGCAGCTTTTCTTTGACGTCATTAAATCACCGTTGAGTATCTTCAAATTTCTCTCTGTGGATAATCAAACTTAGCCGGCGTCTTCTAATTCCCGCCGTTAAATATTTGTGTGTAATCTTAACCTGCTCCTGGGGTTTACTTGTGTACTAAAATTCTCTGCCGATTCGTCGGATGATAAGGCAACTGATCTAAATTAGTTTCTCCAAGGCGTGAGAAGACTACTTGCAATGACATTTGATGAATTTTGCCTACATCTAACAAGTCATCTTAACATGTCTGCATCCTTGCCTTGATGTGGTGATCGATTTCTCTTTGAAAAATATTGTTACATGGTCTAGATCAATTAAAGTCCGTGATTTACTTCAGCAAACTAGGGCAAAAATATTGCCATACTAGACTATTATGCTAGATAGAACATATACAAGAGAGAAAGATGTGACGATGCGATCTCTCGGTACCTTCAATTCTCAATTGAATTGACGGCTTGCCGCTGGTGTCCGATGATGGATGCATGGACGAACAGAAGAGACGAGAGGAGAGAGGCCAGAGTCATTGGGGAATCGGACGAGTAAAGGCGTGGCGGCGGCTGCGTAGGAATCGTAAAGTTCATGTTTGAGAGACTTGGGTAGTTGTGGGCACTGGGCCAATTTACTTATGGGCTTTTGGGCCTTTTTAACCTATCCACCGAGGCAGTTCACGAGATTGATGGGGTCAGTCAATCTTTTTATTGGGTTTAGGTCTAAAAAGTACTCCCTCCGTTCAAAAATACTTGTCCTAGAATGATTGTATGTAGACTTGTTTTAGTTCTAAATACAACTATTTCTAAAACAAATATTTTCGAACGAAGGGAGTACCTGCCAATACATACGTAGCTACCAAGTTTCGTTGGGTTCAACTGCACCCAACGATACAACGGTGGCTCCGCCCCTGATTCTAGCTATGTCGGGTCCTTCGTTACATGAGGAGGCGGTTAATTGGCAATCAGGTGTGGACTCTGCCTATCAGTCCGATTAAAAAAAAGTGCAGCGACATTGTGACTACAATCACAAAGCAAACCCATTACATGTTACATATAATGTGCCACATATCCTAGACTGCCGTCCATATTGTTTAAGCGAAGTCTGAGCTACCAGCCTACCATCTCCAAGTGGATATATGTAACCAGAGTTCAAAGTAACCCTCGTTCACATGATGTAGTGAGAACCATGTACGGAGCCAATGGATGGCCATGTGAACAACCTTAAAGAAATGAAAACCTTTTGTTTGTTAAACACAATATCATTATAAAAATTCCCAAAAAGCCAACATAAAGTGCGTGTACAAAGATTTCAGCCTTAAGATGGGTACCAACACGCCTTAAGATTTGAGCAAATACAATAGGATGATATAGTCAGGCTGTAAGACTTTAAATATTATATTTTTGATGAGTTGAAGAAGAAAGAAGAGAAGCGAGCTACTCTTTAGCAGCCGTAGCACGCACTCCTAGACAATTTATAAGCGAGGGAGGTGGCCATGAATCAACAAAGTAGTACATATTTATATGTAACTATTGTACTTGCCAACTATAACCTTGACTATAGATGATGTGGCAAAATCATATAGCTAGCAGCTGGCTATAATATTAATCATGCTCTAACCAATTTCTTAAACGAAACATACACCATCCTCCACACCAACCGTGCAAAGACGACATCTTAAACTGTCTTGCCAATTGTGTTTAGCTAAGATATCTTTGGTTATAAGTAAATACCTAATAAAGAACTTAATTGCAAGGGACATCTCAAGTTTACATAAAAATATTGTACAAAAAACATGGTTGTCATTGATAATGTTCGTGCACATTGATTTGACCGTGAAGTAACCCTAATTGCGGGGTTTCCATCAGAATACATCCAACTCCTCAGATAAATCAATTGCCATTAAGCATTGCACCAAGTGAATCCAGGACATCCATCCCTACCCAAAAACCGTAAAAAAATAATAACATTCAATGGTATAGTTACGAAAACATCTGCCATACTGACATGTTTTCCCTTGGTGATATTGTGCAAGGTAGGGTACTCGTTGCTGAGAGTCCTATTCCCCAATCAGTCAGTCACATGTCCTTCGAAAACCTAGTACATGAGCCATTCAGCACTCCCAACCGTGAAAGCAACATGCAGTAAAAATTCTTGTTTAAACGCACAGGCCTATTTAGAAAGTTTTTAGAAAGGAGAGTCCGATGGTCTTACAGTACCTTAGAAAGAGGGCGTGAGTGGATATACTTTTTGCGTAGGAAGTCTTGTCATGCCCCGTCATAATTTAACAACTTGAAAAAACATTTACTTATAATTTCTTTAATCCACATATCTTCATGCCCAACCCTCCATGATCTCCATGCTGACTTGCATTATCTACATTATCTATAGGCTTATGTATCCTCGAAGACCATCTCTGAGAAGGAATTACTCAAGTACAACGATGACTTCTTCGAGGGCAGAGTGCTCGACGTTGTTGTCTTGGTATGTGGCCTCGTAGGAGGAGACACCCTCCTTCCGCACATCAGCGACAGCCTCCATGCCATGTTGTCACCTCTAACTGGCGCCGAGCTCTATCACAACTCCCTCAAGTTCCTACAAGCCCTCCTCGGCTTCGTACCACTGGTGCACGTCGACGACGTCTGCGAGGCACACGTCTTCTGCATGGAGAAATCGTCTGATGTTGTTGGTGGCCGATACCTTTGCACCACCGCGCACACCAACATGCATGACATCTTGGAGCACTACGTCCGCAGGCACCCCGAACTCGAGCGGATCAAAGAGTAAGTTCTCGAACAAAATATCATATTTGACTATCTCTTACGTGGTGCTTTGTGATAAATATTTTTGGTGTGTGTGTGTGACTGTTAGAGTGGTGGGAGAGGGAGTGAGAGTGCAGGCTAACACAAACAAGCTTGTGGAGCTGGGGTTCAAGTATAAGTATGGAGCAGAGGAGGTGCTTGATGGAAGCGTGGATTGCGGGAAGAGGTTGGGATTGTTGTAATATGCATGTGCATACGTTGATCGTGTGCTAGCATACATTTGACAGTCAAAATATATGTATATATGTCATTTTTTGGACTCTTGTGTTTTTTCTTGAAACATGTTGAGGTTATTGTTCTTTTTACCATTAGTTTTGGGTTTGTGTCATGAGTTTTTCATGTTAAGAGCCCAAAGAAACATATGTTGAAAGCATACATATAGAAAGGGGTGTAGTCCCCCGGGAAGAGAAAGAAAGGGGTGTAGTCTTCTTCTCTTTATAATTCAAATATCACAATCTGAAAGATGTGTAAAATTGTGTAGCTCTGCATGTTAATAGATATTGTTTAAAACTCATGCAACATATTGTATACTTGTTCGATACTGCGCTAGCTATTTCATATCTGTACAACCGGGATGGTCTCGTTGTACTTTTTGGCATTGTATGTTTGGATCCTTGTGTGAACATTTTTATATTTTAATTTTTTCTATTAATATGTGAACATGTCAATATTTTTCTAAATATGTGAACATTTTCATATTTTTCTGCAACAATAAAAAAATCCATAAAAGAACGTATACCATGTTGATAGATTTTGATGAACTTTTTTTCACTAAAAGAACATATGAAAAATGCCGTACGAAAAAACCGAATCGAGAGCACATTTTTCCTCTTTCTGGAAGTCGTTTCCCGTGTCTCTCGTGGAAGCAAAACCGTGCCGCTCACAGAAAAAAATAGAAAACACATTTTTCTCCATTTTCGAGAAGCACGACCGTGCCTCTCGCGAAAGCAAAATCATGCCTCTCGTGAAAGTAAAACCATGCTTCTCACAAAAAAAGTGTTTTTTCGCTCAAAATTTATTTTGTCAAAAAGCTTACAAAGACCGATGGAAACCCGAAAAAACCCTTCTAAAAAACAGAAAATGCGTGCGAAAAAAAATAATTCAAAAAATCCGTAGGAAGCGCCTAGAGTGTGACACATGGCGGCGGCTAAAAGCGCGCCAAGTGACGCGCTCTCACGCCACCCCATGTAATCATTGAGGAGGCTTCCGAAGGAGTGCTCGTCAACTAGTTATTCTTCTCATTTTGCGCCTATTGCAAGACAGCCTCTGTCTTGCAGTAGGCGCTCGCTACATGAGCTGGCCCAATATGGCTGATTTTATGAAGCTTCTATTACTAGTTTGGACATGTTTAGAAGCTTCTACGTAGGGACTTCTAAAAAAAATCCGACTTACTGCGTTTCTTCACCAGGTTTTATTTTTTTGGTTTTTCACTTCTTTTATTCAGTTTTTACTTTTTTTGTACATGTCTACTTTCAAATACATGAATATTTTTGTATAAATATGGAATAGTTTTTGATACAAGCTGAACCTTTTTTTAAATACAAGATGTAAAATTTCAAATACATGGTTGATTATTTTTTCGCGAAACATTTCTTTAAACTATGCCAAAAAATACATTGTCTTAAAATGTCACGACACATTTTGTGAAATGTGTGAACAATTTTCAAATGTCACTAACATTTTCCTGAATGGCTTGATTTTTATATATAATTATACTAATCATTTATATTGACATATTATTTAAAAAAATTCTATAAAATGTATTTTGAAACGCGTGAATATTTGAAAATGTCACAAATATTATTTTGAATCCTATCAACTTTATCAAAAAGTGGCATGAATATATTTTTTACATTACATTAACATTTTCAAATTGTGTGGTGAACCTTGAAATAAAATAATTTTTGAAATATATAATATATTTTATAATATTATAAAAAGGAAAAAAATATAAAATGAACAATATTGGGCCAGCCTATAACACGACAATAAGGCGATTGTTCGGCGAGGCTACCTTCTATCTCGTGTTTTGAGGTAGTGAGCGTCAAACAAAGACTAGAACAATGCGTCCATATCACAAATCATTTTCACCTTTGAGTTCCTCACATTAAGTCTTCAAAATTAGATCCCACGTTAATAGGTTTGCATGAACTTTTATCTGAAAATGCCAAAGAAAAATGAAAGAAAGAAAGGAAAACAGAAGAAGCAGGAAAAACTTAAAATTGGAAAATAACCGGAGAAAAGAGAAAAGCAAAAACAAAAAAAACAAAAACCTAAAAAAAATCCAAAAACCAAAAAATAATGAAAACCAGAAGCATCTGTGCACTTTTTTGGGAAAGCATGAATGTGTTTTTTCAAAGTCTGGGAAGCACATCTGTGCTTTTCACTTTTTAACAAGTACATCTGTGCTTTTCACTTTTTGAGAAGTGCAACTGTTGAAAGCATGGATCAAGCTGAAAAGCATAGTTGTGATTTTTCGCAGAGCGAGCAAAACATTTTTTTCATGAAATCTTAGGAAAAACCAAGCAAAATCCAAAACAAACAAACAAAACCTGAAAGCATGTGAAAAAACATGATCTTGCAGATCCGCCAGTGCGCGACACGTGGCGGCAGCTGAATGCAGCATGAGTTTGTCCCATCAAACAAGATTTTGAAAGGGAAGGCGAAACGAACAGTTGGCTCTCCCTTGAAACAGGGTAGGATTTCTAACCCCAAAGTAGCACGTGAAGGAAATATGCCCTAGAGGCAATAATAAAGTTGTTATTTATATTTCCTTATATCATGATAAATGTTTATTATTCATGCTAGAATTGTATTAATCGGAAACTTAGTACATGTGTGAATACATAGACAAACGAAGTGTCACTAGTATGCCTCTACTTGACTAGCTCATTAATTAAAGATGGTTAAGTTTCCTAGCTATGGACAAAGAGTTTGTTGGAAATATGCCCTAGAGGCAATAATAAAATGGTTATTATTATATTTCTTTGTTCATGATATTGTCTATTTTTCATGTTATAATTGTGTTATCCGGAAATCGTAATACATGTGTGAATACATAGACCACAACACGTCCCTAGTGAGCCTCTAGTTGACTAGCTCGTTGATCAAAAGATAGTCATGGTTTCCTGACTATGGACATTGGATGTCATTGATAACGGGATCACATCATTAGGAGAATGATGTGATGGATAAGACCCAGTCCTAAGTTTAGCTCAAAGATCGTGTAGTTCATTTGCTGTAGCTTTTCCGAATGTCAAGTATCATTTTCTTAGACCATGAGATTGTGCAACTCCCGGATACCGTAGGAGTGCCTTGGGTGTGCCAAACGTCACAACGTAACTGGGTGACTATAAAGGTACATTAAAGGTATCTCCGAAAGTGTCTGTTGGGTTGGCACGAATCGAGACTGGGATTTGTCACTCCGTATGACGGAGAGGTATCTCTGGGCCCACTCGGTAATGCATCATCATAATGAGCTCAATGTGACCAAGTGAACAGAGCCAATCATTGATTTCAGCTCGTTAAGATTAACGAGCTTAACGAACGAGTTAACGAGTTTCACGAGTAGCTCGTTAAGCTCGTTAGAAACAACATAACACATATTTCATCTTATGTGACAAACTTTTTGTAGCACCTCAGCCCATCAATTCAATCTAATCGACATATGAGGCAACAAACTAGTGCATTTCTTTTTGTGGTCACCATATTTCATCTTGACAACCACACCTACACAATCATCTTGTATATCATAACACATTATAATCTGTTAACGAGCACTCGGGGGTGCTCACGAGCTTACCGAGCTTCAAATGAGCCGAGCTGAGCAGGGTTTTCTGCTCGTTAATCATAACGAGCTTAACGAGCCGAGCCTTAACGAGCATGAGCTTAACGAGTACGAGCTTAACGAGCCGAGTTACTCGTTAGTCCACCCCTATAAAGTGACTTTCCGGTAACGAGATTGAACTAGGTATTGGGATATCGACGATCGAGTCTCGGCAAGTAACGTACCGATTGACAAAGGGAATTGTATACGGATTGATTGAATCCTCGACATCGTGGTTCATCCGATGAGATCATCTTGGAGCATGTGGGAGCCAACATGGGTATCCAGATCCCGCTGTTGGTTATTGACCGGAGAGGCGTCTCGGTCATGTCTGCATGTCTCCCGAACCCGTAGGGTCTACACACTTAAGGTTCGGTGACGCTAGGGTTGTAGAGATATTAGCATACGGTAACCCGAAAGTTGTTCGGAGTCCCGGACGTCACGAGGAGTTCCGTAATGGTCCGGAGGTGAAGATTTATATGTAGGAAGTCAAGTTTCGGCCATCGGGAAAGTTTCGGGGGTAATCGATATTGTACCGGGACCACCGGAAGGGTCCAGGGGGTCCACCGGGTGGGGCCACCTATCCCGGAGGGCCCCATGGGCTGAAGTGGGAGGGGAACCAGCCCCTAGTGGGCTGGTGCGCCCCCCTTGGTCCTCCCCCTGCGCGTAGGGTTGGAAACCCTAGGGGTGGGGGGCGCCACCCTTGCCTTGGGGGGCAAGGCACCCCCTTCGCCGCCGCCCCCCTTAGGAGATTGGATCTCCTAGGGCCGGCGCCCCCCTAGGAACCCTATATATAGTGGGGTTGGGGGGAGGGCAGGCGCACCCAAGCCCCTGGCCTCTCCCTCTCCCTCCCGTGACACTCCTCCGTCTCCCTGCGCTTGGCGAAGCCCTGCCGAGATCACCACTGCTTCCACCACCACGCCGTCATGCTGCTGGATCTTCATCAACCTCTCCTTCCCCCTTGCTGGATCAAGTTGAAGAAGACGTCTTCCCAACCGTACGTGTGTTGAACGCAGAGGTGCCGTCCGTTCGGCACTTGGTCATCGGTGATTTGGATCACGTCGAGTACGACTCCATCAACCCCGTTCTCTTGAACGCTTCCGCGTGCGATCTACAAGGGTATGTAGATGCACTCCTCTCTCCCTCGTTGCTAGATGACTCCGTAGATTGATCTTGGTGATGCGTAGAAAATTTTAAAATTCTGCTACGTTCCCCAACAGAGTTGTCATTTGATGAACGGGATCACATCATTAGAGAATGATGTGATTGACTTGACCCATCCGTTAGCTTAGCACTTTGATTGTTTAGTTTACTGCTATTGCTTTCTCCATAAATTATACATGTTCCTATGACTAT